TATATATATATATTTTTGTTAGGAATCAATAAAGAAAATCGTTGCGTTCTATTCTAATTACAGTTACGTTGGAAACTTCAGTTTCTGCAACGTACTGTATATTCGAACACACACACACAAAACATTAACGAAACGATTATCAAGCATTACGAAGACTTTCTCTGATTGCTCTTCGACAATATATCGAAGTGCAGTGGAAATCATTTAAATAAGTTCTCCGATTTATTAATAAACTTATCATTTATATTTTCGGAGAACATTTTAGAAAAAAAAAAGGAAAAAAAATAGAAGTTGTTGCAAATTATTTGCATAGAGTTTGGTAATTGGCCATTCATATTCTCACCTTATTTAAATTGAGTTTAAATTATTTTTTTCTTTCTCTTTTTTTTTTTTTAATTTCTAGCCACACCACAAATCATAATATTAGGTAAAGCTCCACGACGTTTGCGCCAAGCACCAAGAGATTGTGCATGAGCTTGCAATGTTCTACACCATCTTTTCGTTCTGGCGCCATCCTCAGCCTATATAAAAAGATGTATTATTAAAATTAATAGAATATAGTTAAATAGTATTTGGTATGTAGTAAACATTATCTAAAAAAACATAGAAAAAAAATTAAGTTGATTAATGTTACCTTGAATATGAATGTTTCCTTGGAAGACAATTCTTGTATTTCAAAATATTCCTCGAGATTAGTTTCACAGCATACTATACATTTATCGAGATACAAGGGTTCCTACAAAAATGACGATACACGTGACTAGAAATGTTAATCATTTGTATCATTCATTGCAATTACTTACACGTAGTAAAGAGTAACGACCAAATTTTTCTTTCACCAAAAGTAATGTCGCATCTTTAATACCTATGTCTCTTGGGAAAAGCGAATCATCGTTGAATTCTACATACTCAACAGTTGGCTAAAAATAATTTTTATCTTTTTTTAGTTAAACTTGATCGTATATACATGATTTTGTACATTTAGAAAATTTATTAAATAAATATTTTATTTACCTTGCCATTTGTGACAAGCATGGCAGTGACTGGAGATAGTTTGACAGTTCTACCTCGTCTCCAATTATTGTCCGTTGGCTGAGCAACCAAAAGTCGACCTTCCAAGACAAATCTTGCCTCTTCGTGAGCCCATTCTAAAATTTCAACAGCCATCTGTAATAATAAAATAAAAGATTGTTAATAATTTTTGTTTTTTGAGATAAATTTTTGCTTATCTTATTACTTAGGAATTAATAATTTTATTTGTTTACCTTTCTTAATTTGATGTTCACCACATCTTGCTCACCGGTTGATCGTCTACCATTTTGTATGATAGAAATTCTTCTCCATAATTTTGTAGAAGTAACATCTTTAGCTTCCTGTTAATATATTTGTTGACAAAATTGATTTATTTGTTGATTATATTATTAAAATAATTATAGAAAAAGTAACCTATGCGCTGAAGTCAATCAATTTAATATTTGGATAATAATAATAATAATAATAATAATAATTTTAATGTTAACATTTAATTATTACTTACAGCATTCATGTGTTCTAAATGCAATTCTATGTTAGTTTGAGCTTGTTTGAGCCTTTTTTTTGCTTCTTGAATATCCGGCCGAACTGATGGCGTAGCTTTTAACAATCGTGCTAACAAAAGTGGATATTTCGTTACTCTTTGAACTGGAACCTGAAAATAATTTCTTTTATAAAATTTGTAATTTGATTATAAGGATTATAAAAAAGACAAGAAAAAAGAAAGAGATAGAAAAATAATGTACCATTAGAAAAGAGTTAAGATTCATTCTACGAAGAACGGTGTTCTCCATTTGAGAGACCCTAAGAAAAATTCGAAGAAGCTCCTTCTCTTTTTCTAAATTTTGTAAAAGCAAACTTGCACTGCCTTGTCGGGTACAGTAATTTTCGAAAGCGTGAAGCATTCGTTCCGATTCCAAAAATATTTTACCAACGTCTACCGTTAAAAGATCTTCATCACCTGATTCCTATATTAAAAACAAAATATCATTAATAAATTGTTAATAATTTTATCAAATGAAAACCTATTTTCTATGACAAAAATTAATGTTATTATTTTTTTTATTAGAATATAAGTAATTTCATATTTTTAAATGCATGCAATGGTAAAATTTAATATTTTTCTAATTTGATTAATATGAATTAAATTTCAATTTAAAATTATTAATAAATTCAGGTTTTTTTTTTATTACAATTTAAATCCAAATTTATGCATTATAATTATATAAAGTTTATTTTTGTTTAGATTATAAATCTTTTTTAATGAAAAATAAATCACCTGAGCAAATTCCACAGCATCCTTCAATTTTTCAGCTAGGACGAGATTATCTTCTAATAATTCTTCGACATTGAGAAAAATAGCAGACAATTGTTCCGACGTAAGAAGGCCTGCATTCAACATCGGACGATGAAATTCCTCAAGAATAATTTGTAAATCCCTGCCGTATTTTTGTTCAGTCTCAACAATCTCTGTAATGATTTCCTTCCGTTCGGCTCTTTTTTTAGAACACTTCCTGCATACGAAGGGTGCATAAACTACTCCACTGAAAAAATAAAATCGAATAAAAAGTTAAATAACATTAAATAAATCATTCATAACTTCCTTATTTGAAAATGTCAATTCTTCAATTATACAACAAAGAGATAAAAAGAAAAAGACTATGTATGTCCACAAATGAGTATGTGGGTATGTGTGATATTCAAAATTAAAATCACTTTCGCTCGATCATTTACACCATTTATCGATGGATCATGCGTCTCGATAAGGACACTTTCGCTCTTTACGATAAAAGGAATGACAAATAAGAGGAGAAAGTAGTTTTGTCACGTGACCCGACTTGCAAACATTAGCAAAAAGAGTATAGATACTTTGAAATGTTCAAATACGATTC